TAATAATTTTTTATCTTATACTTTTTCTGCATCAGTTGGTATCAGAGTCGAATTAATTTTTTATTAATTTTTTTTTCTGAATGTCCCCGTAGAGATGTTCGTCGTAGATTGCACCTTCCGCCGCCATTGCTGCAAAAGTCGAATTCCTCCGCCAACAGATTGACGCCCTCACGCGGCAATTTGCAGCCCTTCAGCTTGTGGTTCCACCACCAACCATTGCTGAAGAAAGAATAGTTCATATGGTTTAAATTCCCTACTTTACTTTAAGACGAAATTAACTCTAGACTTCTGTAAAAAAAAAATGAATTTGTATTTCAATGCTAGATCAAATATGCAATAACAGAAAATCCTCATTGTTAAAATAAGTGTGATATCTTTTTATTTAACAATTATATATAATTAAAGGATAAATATCTAAAACACCACCGTGTTTTGTTTCTTTACCCCTTTTGAATTATATGATTCAGTCTCGTGGGCCATGAATTAATAAAGAAAGATGTAAAATCTTTTAAATCTATAAATGCGAAACGTTTTGGTGTTGATCGAACATATCCATCGACTATACATATTTTATTTTATTTTTCAAGTTATGTGTCTGCTAAATCTTTAGTACCAATAAAATTGATTGTCTCCGTCAAAGCCATATTGTTTTTTATTGAGCATTTTATTCGAGTTTCCCAATAAAAGTGATTGTCTCCGTCGGAGTCATATTTTTTTACGGTGAGAGACTACGTTTAGAATTCATTTTAAAATAATTTTATTTTTTATATAAAAATAAAAATGAAAACGTTTTAAATCTCAGACAAAAATTATTTTTAAAAATGCTTTTGGTAATTTTATTAAGAGATTATTTTCAGTGTAAAAAAATTTATTAATGTCTCTCTTTCTCTCTCTCTGCTTAAGAGTGGAGAAAACGAAAACAAAAAATGAAAAATGACTAAAAGTCGTTTTTCATTTCTCTCTCATTTTACACTAAACTAAAAAATCATTTTTATTTTTATTTTTTGTCTTTATTACGCCAAACGCCGTTTTAGAAACGTTTTCATTTTTTCTTTCTCAAAAAACGTAAAAAATAAAAACATGATCAATTCCAAACACAGCCTATGTGAATTGGTGTTTGTAATGTCTATTAGGATTTTTAATCTTATGTGGCACAAATCTTCCTATGTATAATTTGTGATTAGCGTGGGATTTGTGCATTTTTGTTAGCAACCTTGTATCAAATCAATTTAATTATGTGTTGTTGTTTTTACACTTTGTTTTCTTATTTGGTTGATTGCAATTTGGTTGATTTGTTTCCATAAATAGTCCGATTTGATTGAATAAATGAAGATTATATTGGCTTTTAACACATGTTGATAAGGTTATGATTGTTGATTATACGAGATTATATTTTTAATTTGCTGTCACAAATTTATCTCATTTATTTTTAGCAATTTCTTAGAATTTTGGAGTATGTGGATTTGACCTTTGTGCATAATTGAATCTAGGTTCATTAAAGATCAATTCAATCATTGACTATGTTTTTTGGACATTTCTTTCAAGATTGTTCTGATCTATTTCAGATCTGATTGAAATTATAATTAATTACAATTTAATTAATAGATCATGAGTTGTCTGTCTTGAGTATTTTGATAGCTGTAGGATCAGATACTTTGTCCAGTCAATGAGCTAGTTATCTCTCCGCACATTGCAAAGGATTTCGAATATGTTCATACAATGACAGCTGAAATTTTGAGAAGACTTAAAATGGAAAGATTTTGTGCATATGGAATTTAGTGAGGAGTTGCAATCAGGTCCCAACCTAGATCAAATGGAGAGATTCTAGACCTCTCTCATATCCGGGTAGTTCACTATTTAAGGATGTAACATTGTGGCTATCATTTGTAGAGAGCACGGACTAAAAAATTGTGAATTCATTGAGTGAAAAAATCGAGTGTTCTCATTTTGTGCTTGAGCTTGAGAGAAAACCGTAGCTTTTGTTAGGCTTCGTTTGTAACTCTTAAACCCTGTAGTTTGCGGACTTTGTGAGGATCTAGAGTAGGTCTGAGGAGGAGCCGCAGGCGGATTGTAGCTATCGGAGTAGGCCAGGCGGACATCGTGCTTAGAGTAGGCCAGGAGGACCAAAGGGGAGCAGAAGACTCTGAGTAAGGCGATGAGCCTGAAGACGAGTCAAGAGGAGTCACCGTGAGTTAGGAGTTGGTGTAGATTCAAGAGGTTTCTTGTAATTCTAAGCTTTATAACTATTTAGTGACAGTAAAATCCTCTTTGGGCTAGTGTGATCAACACACGTGATTTTTTTTCCGAAAGGATTTTTAGTTACCATATCGTTATTTTTTTTTTAATTATTCTGCATTTTACTTCACAATATTTCTGATTTTCGTTTAAACATGATTGATTTAAGCGTTTTGTAAGTATAAAATGCTATTATTGGTCTGTCTAGTCTAACAATGTCTTTTATGTACTCTATAATATGAGAGTACCCAATGCAAATTTTAGGGAGCACATTAAATAGTAGGCCTGCCACACACAGTTAGCAACAAACCACAGTTCGCCGCTTGTTCTAATATTATGATTCGTCATTAATAGGCGAGTTTGTCATTGATTTACTGATGGTTAATAAACTGTTAAATTATTTATCAAAATCAGTTAATTTACCATCTTATATTGTTCAACTAATAATAAATTATAAACAATGTAAGTGGGCTTATTTAATTCATTAATTTAAATTTTTAATTTGAGTTGAGATGTGATTTTATATGAGAGTTTTTTACTGTAGTAAAAAAGTTAAATGTAATTATTTCTGAGAGCTTTTTACTATAATAAAATTTAAATTTTAAACTCAAATCGGGAAAATAAACGGGGTTACAATTTAACCATTTCTAAAAAGATCAATGTTTTGATTATAAAAAAAAGTCAATGTTTTAATTTTTAAAAAAAATTTTTGAGATTCATTTTTGTAAATATAAAAAAAAGCAAAAAAAAAGAAAAACAAAATACAAAAAGCAAAAAACAAAAGAAAAGTGATAGCAGCAAAATAGACCAAACACAATTTTATCGGTCTAGATTTTAATTTAATTATCAAAATATTTAAAATCTTTTTAATACAATAAATAAGTTTTTATTTATAGCTCATTTAAAAAATAATAATTAAAGATTTATTTAATTTTTTAATTTAAATTAAAATGTATTTTTATATGAAAATTTTTTATTATAAAAAAATTAAAAATAATTTTTTAAAATAATTTTATTATAATAAAATTTAAATTTTAAAGTCGAATAAATTAAAGGAAGGTAAAATAAAAGACACAGTAATAACCAAACTAAGCTAAATTAAAACGCTAGAATAAACAACAACAAAATATAAAAAACGACAAACCGAGCGAAGTGAGGAGCTCTCGAGAGTTTCGAGAGTGTGGCAATGGCGTCTCAATTGCAGAAGATCGAAGGAGACGACTCAGTGCTCCTTCGCGTTACCCATTCTAATCTCAAGACCTTCTCCTCCGATGTCCGCTTCTCCCTACAGGTATTTCCTCCATGAACATCTCAATCTTCTCCTTTTTTTTTTCTTTTTCTCGATTCTTGAGTATTTTCCGCTTTGGCATTAACGATTCATTCTTCTGCGTCAGACGACCGTGGAGGGCGTCAAGGATAAGCTATGGCGGAAATGCGGAACTTCCGTGAATTCGATGTCTCTAGAGCTTTACGACGACACCAATTCCAAAATCTCAAATTTGTCTGATAATTCCAGACCTCTTGGATTCTATTCTCCTCTCGATGGGTTAGTTACTCAGTCTATGATTGTTTTTTTTTTTAAATTTTTTTCCTGATGAAACAGAAAAAAAAAAAAGTGAAATATGGTTTGAATTGGTGGTGAAAGGTATCGGATACACGTGATAGATCTGGACCCGTCGTCGGTGACGTCCGGTGGGTGGTTGGAGGACACTTCGCTTGTCGAGAAGTACAAGATTTCAGATGAAGATTACCAAAAACGCGATGGTAAATTCCAAAATTAAAACTTTGAATTAGTCTTGTATATGAGTTTTAAGGAATTATGTATTGTTGTTCGACTCTCAATTTTGGAATGGGCTAAAAATTTTTGGGTTAGCTTGTTACCCCTAAACTTTTAACAAATTACTGTTGTTGAGTGCCTGCAAATTGATTTATGACTGTTAAGAGTTTTAACGAAAATGCCCTCGTGCACGCTACGTGTGCTGGTTTGAAGGGAGAGATTGAAAGTTCATATGACGATCGGAACGAATCATTTCATGTTCACGGGGCACTCTTTCCAAATTTTAACGTTATTCATCGATTTTGGGGTACGCTATAACATTGTGTTAATCTCACGGGGTAATTTTGCCACAATTTAAAAGAGATCAACTTGCCAATTCAGTAGAAATTGAAGACGTGAAAGCGCCAAAATGAATTTTGGCATTACATTCTAGAACACGGTTTTGGTCGAACGATTGTGAATGGTGAATATGGTAAAGAAGATAAATGAGTTAGTGTTTGTTAGGGATGGTAACTAGTTCTTGTAGCTGAAGAAATTATGCTCAGAAATATGGAGCTTTTTTTTTTTTTTTTTTTTTTTTTTTTTTTAATTCTAAGCAGAAATGTGGAACTTGGTCTACTCATTCTTTTGATAGGTTAATTACTTTTAGAACAAAGTTTTGCTTCGTAGATGAATGGGTTTTTGTGCTAGCTAGTGAATGTCCATGTGTAGAAGTGAAACTGCTAAATTTGTGCTGTTATTTCATAGTCAACAGATTGTATAATTGAAAAAAATAAGAAAAAGTGGAACAAAAGAATTTAGCTTTTTTGAAAATGTATTGAGTTCTATAATAAGCTTTTATTTTCTCTGCTAGATATAAGTTTTCAGACCTTGATTCCCTGAGAATTTATTTATCTTTTTATGCTTAACTTTTTTTTTTGGGGGGTGTTTTAGGCACTTTCAGAAAATTCAAGGAAAAAATAGCATCTCAAAACCCATCAGCTTTTGAGCTAAAAGTAAGCCTTCTATAATGTTACTCTATTATGTCAGCAAGCTGCTCTTAATAGTTAATAGCATTAACCGGCATAAAATTTTAAGTTGAGTTGAACTTCTCTTGCTAGTTGTTGTAAAATGGAATTGAATGACATGGTTCTACTGTTCTAGTCCAGTCAAATGCAGCCATCAATAATCATGCTACATAGAGTTCACAAAATTTTGTTTCTAAACGTCATGTGTGGAAATCAATGGTTGTAGTCTTACATTGTTTTTTTTTTTTTTTCTACTGGAAATATATTTACAGATATCAGACAATCACATGGAGGACATCTCCACAAATATCAAGGTTAGTTACTCTCTAGACCCCAACATTAGAGGTGGGCATGGAAACCAATAGGCTAAGCGTGCAATCGCGCTAATTCCTTTTCTGAAATAACAACTTTTAATAAAACCGATCATTTTCCTTCTTTTCCTGCGTTAGCCATGTTTGAGAACTAATATGGTAGTGGAACAAGGAATTTGAATATTTTGAATCAAACCTACGTCAATAAGACTATGAAACTACTTGATAGTAGGCGTATGAGCTCTATAAGCTGAAAGTAGGCGTATGAGCTTTATAAGCTAGAAAAGAGGTATCTTTAGAAGTTTATAAAAAGAAATCTGTTTTTCTCTTTTTTGAAATTTACTTCTTTGGTTATTCCTACGTTGTTTGGATAATTGTATATTTTATTGCCCCATCCTTCCTTAGGTGCTTTTCTCCTTTGGTTTTACTCATATAAGTACATAAATCTTTTCTTGTAATTGTATCTCTCCTATAATTAAAGGCAAGTGTATTGTACACGAGTAAAGTCTGGTGGTAAATCTCTGACAATTCATGAGAAGATTACATTTCATTCCAAAAGTGGTATTCTTTATCCTATGCTGTCATTTTGCCTGCCAGAGGTGCATGGCATTCCTTGAGCACTTCAGATAGTTTGGAATTTTAGTTTTGTGCATTTTTCTTTATTATCTTTTGACAACTTATTTTTTCTATATATTTTTTATGAGGAGCATAAAAGAATTTTCTTCTTTAGTCTTTGTTTTCATATATATTGCACCCATGTCTTATTTTACTGTGGAAAAATAATCATGACTGATGAATTCATTTTTCGATTTAAATGCTGAAGGTAGGAGATAGATGTGAAGTTGAACCAGGGGCAAAAAGAGGTGTTGTTAAATTTGTGGGTCAGGCAGAATCTCTGGCACCTGGTTTTTGGGTTGGAGTCCAATATGATGAACCATTAGGAAAACATGATGGCATGTGAGTAAGCTCTTAAATCTTAAGCTGCTTTGTCTTTGAAAACTTTTAAGGTGTTTGGTGCTTCAGTTTAATCATATATTTGCTTTTTTGCCGCTCGAGTAGACCATGTTTTGTTTGTGGTGTTTCAGCACAAGTATCATCTTCCATTTTCAGTCATTAGAAGAGTAATTAAACTGTTGTTTTTTCAAGAAATTATGAATATTTTGTTTATGATTGGACATGCAAGGCTTAGAAATGTCGACCTTTGTTGGCCATGCGCTTAACGTTGATAAAATGTGTATCACTCTATTTGCTCAACATTGATAAAGCATGTGTATCACTCTAGATTTTATCATCGTTCTGTGATGTTCTTATATGTAATCAATATTTTATTAACGAGGTAGTAGCTTTCAAGTCATTTAGCTGAATACTTCCTTGTATTCGGTGTTGCTACATTATGCACTATGCAGAGTGAATGGCGGTTGATGCTTGCTTGAGGCATGCAAAATTTACTCATTTAAGTTTGTATATTTTTTTTTGTTGTCTTGTTCATGGTGTTAATTGACATTTCTTTTATTCCTGTCCTAGTGTGAAAGGTACGCGTTACTTTGAATGTCCTCCACTTCATGGCGCAATGGTTAGACCAGACAAAGTAAAGGTTTGTAAGCAAGTGTATTGTCATGATGTTTTAACTGCTCGAACGATTTAATCACGTATTCCATCAAAAAGACCTTTTCTTGCATTTTTCTTTTCATGCACTCAAAATGTATAGATATGAGTATTGAACCTTCACATTTGCCTGTCATCTACATATTTTTCACATTCTCTCTCTCTCTCTCTCTGTTTTTTTTTTTTTTTTTTTTTTTTTGTTTCTTCTCCCTCTTTTTTTTTTTTTTTTTTTTTTTTGCGTTACTGCCATTTCAGTATTCTCCACATATATACCCTGCTTCTAAATCCTATCACATTTTAGGTTGGTGACTTCCCTGAACGAGATCCTTTCGAGGAGGACGAAATTTGAGTAGGTCATTTCGCATCCTTACTTTGTAACCTTCTGTAATTTGTCACCAATGCTATCCTTTCGGGTGAGGGATTGATGGTTATGTATCAGTGCAAAATAAGGATTGAAAATTCAAAATCCGTATTTTTAGCCTGCTACCTCTGATCGGTTATGTATACTTTTTGAAACTAGTTAAGCGAGCTGAAATAGTCGTGTTGAAAAACTCGGTAGCAGCATTCAAGAAAAATGGTTATTCTTAGCACAAGTGTGTGATTCAGTTTCCTTCCT